CTTTGAACCTCGTTGTCGAGAACGTGGCCGATGAAGCCTTTGTGTCTCTAATTTTGGGGCCGTTACATGTAGAGTGTGATGATTCAGAAGATCCGACGCTAAAGAATGTCGAGTGTGCCCAGTCAACCCATCCTTGAAGCGCGTAGTCTCGTCGCAGCTATTCTTTAGGTAAGCCTTATTTGCTAGGTATTTGCGCGGCCAGGTTCTATTGCATTTTGGGGGTACTATCAATAATCTATAGAGGACTAATCACTGGAAAATGGATTTGGGGGGCAACACTTCAACATGAGGCTATGCTATTGGAATAACGACTTCTCAACCATTCCCAGAGCTTATCTATCTTTATCCTTCTTTCCAAATAGCTTTTGTAAACTCCCTATCCGCTTTGATGGCTGTTGTTTGACTGATTCCTGCTCTAGCCCTCTATGTCGTTGGCTTGTGGATGATTGTTGTTCGCTCATAGTCAGCGGTTTGTTTGCGTTGGAGGAATGGGTCGAATGCAAAGGCCGATTTGGAACCTGGATAGTGTTGGGACCTGACAAAGTTTTCCTATCTGAACTTTGATAGAATGGCAGCCTCTGATCATGAGTCGAATAGTGCTCTGCAGTTGTTCGTTCGTTTATAGTACTCACGACGTCATTTGACGTTCCTTGTTGAATCGTGGTTCTTGCCTGGCTTGGTCCGGGAATTTCATGTGCCCCAATTCTGGGCCCTGATGCCGATAGCATTTCTGATAGTCTTTGTTCTGACGCTGGATCCGCAGCTACTTTTCGATATGCCAAGCGCGGGGGACCTCTCACTTCCTGGCCTGCCATCATGCATCAGCTTATAGCTGATAGCTTGCCTGTTGCAATAAGATGACTTCTAAGGCCAGCTTCTTGGTGCATGGCTTTTGAAGTGTTCGCAGGCCCGATATGGGGATATCACACTTACCAGTTGGTATTATCCTCGTCATAGGAGTATTCCGAGTTACTCCCCTGTCAAAAGTTGGATGCGGTAATACACGTCTAGAAACTGCATCGATCGGGCGGGCCCTAGGAAATTGCCTTGGATCAACATAAGCATCCATCCAGCATATCAGACAGCCACAGTCGGGCAGCTTTTTGACGGCGCGGTGCGGTGCCACGGGCTTCTTCTTAGGAACTCCGACCTCGAATGGCTTTCGACGAAACGCGAAGAGGCTTGAATCAACAAGTCTGGGCTGAGCCGGACGCCACGTCGGTAACAGTAGCAAGGCCACTTCCGTATTCCTTGTCTCTGTGTCCACGGTGAAATCTATCAGGGCCCCTCTCGCTAGCAGTAGCTTCACAATGCTTGTGTTACCAGCTTTGTATGCTCGTTCCAGTGGACGTTCGTAAACCATGCCTGACCTTCTGATTGGGGCTCTAATGCTTGCACCCCTCGCCAGCAACAGCTCTGCAACTGCGTAATGACCCCGAGCACATGCTACCCCTAATGCAGTCTCACCGTTTCTCTCCAGATCAATATTGGCCTTATTCTCGAGTAAAACGCAGACGGTTTTCATGTGACCCTGGGAACATGCCGCATGGAGGGGGCTACCCTCGTGACCACCTTGGAGGTTGATGTCTGCACCTTCTTGAAGAAGCAGCTTGACAATGCCACTTTCGCCGTAAAAACACGCATCATGGAGTGCATTCTTGGCGAAATCTGCCACGGAACGTGACTTTGAACGTCGTTTTTCGTGAGAAAGCAATATCTTGACGATATGCGTATGGCCGTTGCTCGCCGCTTGAGCCATCGGATTGAACAATGTCTGAATCGTTGGATCGGCACCTTTCCTGAGTAGAAGCTCGACAATATCTTTGTTGCCACTTCTACAAGCCGCACTAAGAGGTGCTTCACAAAGTCGTACGGCAAAGTTGACATCGCCACCACGATCCAGGAGCTTTCGGACAGCTTCTTCGCGTCCTGCGGAGCAAGCCAAGGCCAGAGGAAGGCCATCGCGGCCTTCTACATTGATGTCCGGCATGTAACTCAGAAGCAGTTCGATCACCTCGAGATGGCCCTGCTCGCACGCGAGTCCCAGCTCGGTCGCCAGACGCTCAGGCATTCTCTCAATATCCCTAGCTTCGGCAATGATTTTCTTGAGAAGCATAACGTTGCCTTCGTATGCTGCTTTCTCGGCTCTCGTGAAGATTGGTTGGATGGATGTGCTCCTGCTGATGAATCTGAATTTAGCGGAACCTATCGTGATGGTAGTGAAGGTGTCTTGGGCGGTGGTGGCGTCGGCGCTGCCAGAGACTCCTTGCTCGCGCAGCTTGGACAATGCGCGGTTTGCATCACCGGGGAAATTGAATACAAGGCCTGCTTTGCCTTCAATCTGAATCGCGAACCCAGTCTGCTCGTCTTGGCCGTCTCTTATACTCCGGTCGTCCCTCGTACTCCAGTCATCTCCCTCGTTGCGGTCGTCCCTCATGTTCCCTTCTTCCCCAATGCTAGAATTTGGATAGGCGCTTTGGGTGTCCATGGTATGTCTTGAATCCTTCATCGATGCCAACCATTGGTCGATGCTTTCATTTGTGACGCGTGGGCCTTCGGGAATATCGGGGCGTACGGGACTTGAGACCATGTCGGGAAAGTCTCCTCCGTATGTATTTGCCTTGAAACTTGCATTAAGCTTCTTCACGGATTCGACCATTCTCTTCCGATATTCGGTACCAAAGGTTCCGCGCCCGCGAGATTTCTTCAGCCAGTCGCAATAGGGGATACCGCTGAGTAGTTCGCGTCGATCCAACGCAAACTCTTGATCAATCCAAGACCGTGCGGCAATTTCAGCGAAGGGATCATCGGCAACTACAATATCAGACTGTGGATATAGGCCGCCATGGACAGCTCGCAAGACCGCTGAGAGTCCGCTTTCGTCTTTGGGATCTTTCCATGCTTCTAGATGTGACGTTTGCCAGTTTGCCTTGTAGTTTTTCTGGTCTTTGATGTAGTCGGGCAGCCTTGTGCACGAGCTGAATAGTAGCTTGGAATTCTCGTCCCGCAGCTTCAAGGCAACATCTATCAAGACTCGATCGACTCGACTCTCGAACTTGACTTTTTCGTCTCTGATCAGCTCACCGTTGAGAGGGTTCTTCGCCTCATCTGTTTCCCGCTTGTAGCCCAGCCCTAGGCCACTGTGCGTAATCTCGAGGATGAAATTATACGGCCTGTCCTTCTCCCCTATTCCAACGTAGGACATTATTTGCTTCATCGCAATGTCGTAGATGTGCTCATAGCTTCTTTTGTCCCAAAGGACGTTGATCGGCTCAGACTCCATTGCAAGGTCAATGATCGGCTGAGCGTGGAACACCATGACCATCGCGGGAAACATAGGCAGCTGCTTCTTCTCGAAGTAGTTGTATCCGTATTGTGCGCAGGAAGCCGCTTCAACCATCCTGATGAGATGATCAAATGACCGGTAGACCACATTATAACCTTTGAGCATCACTGATTGAAACATGCTATGAACCAGTGGTGGCGCGGTCGTTCTCCCATTTGCGTGCTTGGAGATGTGGAAGGAGTAATAGGGTATCGCATTGGCCAGATCGTTGTCCCGAAGATCGTATTGGAGGGTATGGCCTCTATTGCCAAACTTTTCTCTCCAGAGCACGTCGAACAACGCTAGCACCTTCTCGTTGGTGTCCAGGTATGAGCTAGCAAGGTCTGGTGGTCCCAAGCCTGGCTGGCCTGGCATTTCTGGCTGACCAGGTTTGCTTGGGTCAAGAATGAGGTTTTCGATGTTCCTCGTCACGAGAGCTGTCTTGTATCTCTCAAGCAGAGAGATATGACCCCACGGCTTGTCGTAGCGCGTGACGCGCCTTGCAATCTTGTCATGTGCTACTACCGCCGTCTTGAGGGTTTCCGGTACGAATCCGTCAATCTCGTGGAGGAACAGTCCTTCGCTGATGCCGTTGTCGATGGCGGCAAATGAGTTTTCAACGATTCTGGAGGCCCGCTCGTAGAGTCCGCGATGGCAAAACACAAGACCAAACTCGGAGCGTAGAGACCCTTCAGTGACTGGATTGAGCAGTAAGTTTCGCGGACTGAACTTTTTCCCCTGTGTTTCCCATATGTAACCATCAGGCAGTGAAGGCCGCTCTCGGCGATGCTGGAAGACTCTGGCTGTGGACCCGGGATTGGCCATGACAGCCGAAGGGTTTGGGCTCATGCTGCTCATTTTGCGACTAATTGAATTGGTTTAAGAATAATGTTGTCGAGTCTCTAATCATAAGAAAGATTGACTGGCTAGAAACATTGAATGGAAGTACGTTGAGAGTGAACACCGAGACTTCAGAGACGGTTGTATCCATATTTTATAGGCCTCTTATGCTTGTGAACATCGCACAGCCTTGACTCAGATTGATCCTTGACACAAGGCTGCCGATCCAAGTCATCACTTTTCGGTGAGTCTTCCAAAGCGAGGACTGTATGTATCATCGGGCAACCTGCTTCTCTCGCCTGACGGACTTTTTACACTTTGAAGCGCCAGCCTGATCGACCCATATGATCCGGGATGCAGCCACTTTGTTACATGGCTCTCCACGCTCGGATGGTGGCAGCCTTGGAGAAGCAGCCACGGCGCATAATGGACCAATAGAATGCAGGTTGTACGCTGTAATTGTTCGTTAGTGGTGGAAATCCTGCCTCGAAGTGCGCACCACGCAGCCCCATCACGATTCTCACCGAAATGTGCTGGAAATATCATGGTCACAGGCCAGCCATTGCGGTTGCTGTGTGTCTTCTATTCCCTGCGATTTGTCGCAACACATGCAGCTCACATTCTGTGCTTATCATGGATGTTGACTCATTTCTTCGTGCAACTCGGGCGAGGCACGCTCGAACATCTGAATATAGCAACACTTTCGTGTCGACCTTGTTCAAGCAAACCCCAATAAAGCATGCCTACTTGTCAACGAGACCCCTGAGTGTCTTGTAACTGTGGGTCGCAACAATGTGATGAAGATCTTACCTGATTTTCGCAGGCTCATGGACTCCTAAGTCAACAAGAATGTTCTCTCCGACGCCAAGCCCGGCTCTGCACCAGCTCCCTCCATGTACCCATCGACGAAGCACTCTCCTATAACAACAAAACTATCTGTGTCGTCATACCTCCGCAGCACAACAGGAACACTGCACCCGAACAGCACGCAGAGAAAGTCTCCTTTCATCGCCCTTTGCGGTACAAGGCCGACATGTCCATCACAACTGACCATCAGACGCGAAGACATTCTCCCAATCGTATCTACAAGCCTTCCAAAAAATGAATCGTGAATGAACTCGGCCTGATTAGGCGGGGGCCCTGCCATGCTGATGAACTCAGGGTCATTGTTGAGAGTATCGCGCACGATACTCTCGAAAGTGTGTCCGCAGATAAGAAGAGGGCGGGTCCAGTCGAACCATTCCTGGAACTCCTGTGCTATGAGGTCTGGTGAATCTTCCATGCGGAGGCTGCAAAGTCGTATGAAGTCGTGGAAGAAATCCTCATCAGGCATGGCGTATTGCAGATAGCGGTTCTTGCGATCCAGGACGAGTGTTTTACAGATTCTTCGAAGTATCTCGATCGGCCTACTGAAGCCTACAGAATTCTCTGTTGATGACCTTAAGTTGTTTTGGTGAGAGCTTTGGATAAAGGGAAACTTCCTGGACCCAGCTAGCCCATCGATGGTGTCAATCAAGGTTCCTTTTGTAGTAAGCGTTCGTTCGTGAAAGCTATACTCAGCCTCTCTGTCCCGAGAAGCAGAGTAGACGGCCGGAACTCCGCTGTATTCCAAACTCAGAGGAGGTCTCATGTTTCCGATGTGAGTCCTCGAACCCTGGCTGGCCATCAGAGGGGTTACCAAGCTATGCATCTCGAGCCGCCAGTCGGGCACCCAAGACATGGATGAATAGCCGTTACTGAAGGAACTACTGTACACAGAGGCGAAGCATATGATGTCCAATGACTTGTGATGGTCAATGAAAGCCTGTGTGTAACGTAAGTAGACTTCCTCGACGCTGCGTGCATAGCTGACTTCCAACAGAAACCCATCAGTAGACAAGGCCCTCAGCCCGTACAATCGGTCTCGGTCGTCGGTAGCGTCGCACTGGGAAAAATAAGCAGCCAATGCTGGGAGGGACATGGTGATGTCTTTGTTCGACTTCTTGCTGATTTTGTACAGCATCCATAATCTTCTCCGGTTGAATCCATAGCTAAATCCAAGAGTCTCCTTGAAGCCGCTCCAGGGACATTTATCTGCAGTCCACAAAGCCCGGCATATCACGGTTCTGCTGATGCTCTGTGTTCCACACCACATGGAAACCCTTTCCGGGATCACGAACTCTTGGATCGTCCATATCCTCGTCCACCATTTCCGGAGGAAGAAGCTCTTCAGTGCAGTCCAATATGTGTAATGGTTTCGATATTGTTCCAAGATCGGCCGAATTCCAGCATCGCTGTGGCCTTGGAGATTGACCTTGTTCAAAAGTCGGATGAACTTGATGGCCTCATTGCTATCATGTGACTTTTCGCCGAGCCAGACGATGGCTCTTCGGGCACGGCGGTAGATTTCCTGCATAAGCCGCACCTGCTGGTTTCGTTCCTCGAGATTCCTTTGGTCGATACAAATAGAGTCGATCCACCACCAAGTGCCATCAAGAAGAATGCCTTTGGATCGTAACGCCTGCGTAAATGAGTACACTGAACCGAGGATTGGCAGTTTTCGGTCTCCTATCATGAGAGCATGGTCGCTCGCGAGGCCATCTGTCATCCATGAGTACGATAAGGATTGATACGCAGGTAATGACTGATTGATTGAAAATATTGACAGGTCAATGGCAGTGGTGCTTTCATCTGCGAGGAACCTGATCAGACGAATTTGGTCATCTCTAAGAGGCTTGTAGGTATATTGAGTGTTTTCGTCCATGGCTGTCTTTGGTGTAAGGTAGACAAAGCAGAATACTGAGAAGTCTGCTCTAGCTTTATTGAAGATAGGATAAGGAAACTTTGGCTAGATAACGGGAAATATTAGGCAGAAATCAGATGCGACCGAGTCCTCTGTTACACCCCTGCTGTGCTCAGCCTCGCCTGGGGCGGGGTTTGCAGATGCGTTCGAAAGTGTGGTGATGGGAAAAGAACGCTCATTGGTTTCAAAGGAGGGGCAAATGTGCACATCGAGCATGCAACATGGTGACAGCCCCAAAGCTCGTTGAGAGGTGAAAATAGCTCAAGTCCGGGTCGCCTTACGAAAATATATACAAGTCCAGCTTGGCATCGCGCCACAGAGAGGTCAGATCAGTATATCTGTGCCATACTCTCATATCCCCACTGAAGTGTTGAACGTCTAGTCCTGTTCAAATGGATGTAGATAAACGGCGCTGACAGCTTGATACTAGGCCGAAGGTAGACTTCAACCTGACCGTTCAGTCTTAGAAATCAAGCATGAAGTGCTAGTCGGGAGTCTCTATCCCTCCAAGTAGGCATTTGTAGGTTTTTATCTCTAGTAACAAACTAAATTTACAAAAGAGAAAAATCACAATGCATTGGATAAAGAGAATATTGAGTTTATCAAAACAGTTAGAGTATTTACTTGTACCATATATTTGCTTTCAGATAGCAGACCAACTGACTACCGCCCTTCGCTCGAGTGAAAAGTTTTGAAATGAAAAAGTAATATAAATGAGTGTTGATAGCTTAGTTCTCCATTCAGAGCGCCTCGTGACAAAGGACTGATGCATAACTAGTATTTCACTGCGAGTTTGAATCTTGATGGCAAGGACATGGCCGGTGAAGAAGTTCGTGAATGGAATTAATCGTCTATAGCCATCCTTCCCCTCATCATGGTATCAACAACCCAGAATATGCATACATGAAACAACAACGCTCTACGCAAGCGCCGCAACCCGCACTCTAGATGCTCAATTCTTCACCTCGGTGCTCCCAATCGCCGTCGTCCCGCTCGCGGTGTCAGGAGAATCAAGCAACTCGGGCCCAGGATCCGCTTGCTTATTCAGACTCCCCTCCCCAACCTCCCTCTCCACCTTCTTCACATCGACATCTTCAGCATCGAGCTGCTCCTCCCCAAACGGCCCGCTCGTCTTGACGCCCTCCATTGAGTCCGTATCATTACCATCCTTTCCGCCGCTCAACACGCCCGCATCGTCTTTGACGCTGCTCGCGCGGCTCACGTCCGCGCTCTCGGGGCTCTCATCCCTCAGTCCGAGGTGCTTCTCCGCGACGGGGTCCTCTTTATTGTGACCCTTCCAATCAGCAGCCTGCATCTGCGGAACGGGCGACCCAGATGATGGCTCGTTAATGATCTCGCCGGCCGTTGGTGAAATCACCTCGTCGCCGCCGTCTTCGGCCCGCTGCGAGTCTGCCACACGCCAGACAACGGCGATCTTGTCAAAGGCGCGGGAACCTTTGCGACTAGACCCCTTGATGCCGTCCATAGCATCCCAGCTAATCTCAAAGACGCCGCTGGCGTCAGCTTTGCCATCTTGCTCGGGGCCGTTGCCCTCGAAGAAGACGTTGAACCAGACATGGGCAACAGCAGTGACCATTGTGAGGCCCATGGAAGACGAGGTACGGTTACGGCGCTCTACTGAGATGTTGACGTCGCTGTTGGGGATGTGGATGGGCTCTGTTGGCTTGAGAATAACGGCCATACCGCCGGGCTCGCCATCTTCGCCACCATTTGACTTCGCTTGGGCTTTGGCGTGTGACTGCTCCGCCAACGGAGCATCAGTGTCGCTTCTCTTCTGAGCCGCGCTCGGCTCGGGTGTACGAATCAAGGATGTCGTCGCCGCATTGCGCAACTTCTTTGACTCGCTTCGGGTAGGGGTAGGATCATCCTTCTGAGGCCCCGAAGCATCCTTGTCTGAGCTGCTCTTCTTTGCATTGTTGGTGTTGGTAGGTTCCGACAAAGGCGCCGCGGCAGGCGCCTTCTCCGTAGGTTTGACGCTGACGCTGGCGAGATCGGATACCATAGAGCCGACTCCGCCCCCGCTTGGTGTATCGCCCTGAACGACGATCCTCTCGCTCTTCTTGAATGTGTGAAAGACCTTGATCTTCTTTCCCTCCTCGGCGAATCCTTCAACGTCAAACTTGACGCCACTTCGCAGACCCCAGACATGGATCTCCATAATCTCAATAGCCCGGTCAACGTACTTCTTCCCACCTCGAGTCCACCTGTCGACGTATGTAATCGTTCGCAGCTGGCTGGGAATCGAGATGCCCGCTCCAAACTTGGGTCGCATTCTCCTCTCCGTAAACCTCGTGAGAGCTTCTTCGGGCTTCCAGCCGCACTCGGAGATAAGGTAGCTGCAGGATACTGTGCCACTCCTGCCCTTGCCAGCCTTGCAGTGAACGACGACGACCCTCTTGTCATTTCCTTCCGCAGCCTTGTCAGAAGCGCTGACGGCAACATTACCCGGCTCGAGATCGCCTCCCTGAAGCCAATTTCGCATGCTGGCCATGATCATAGGAATCAGACGGAACGGGGGCGGGTGGTGATCAGGCCACGGGTAATGTCGTACTCGGCCGTAGACCTCCTCGTCGGGGTACCCCGTTCCCTCTGCGCGGAACTCCCATATCGCCCATTGGTCTTTGTGCTTCGAGTCGAGAAAGGTAACGAGCCGATCAAGCGGGTTTCGATAAGCTCTTTGGGGATACGTGCCTGAAGGACCAGATCTGGGTAAATTAAAAAGAGTTAGCTCTTTCCCTTTGCAATAGTGTGTGGTATAGAAGTGCCCCCATACGTTGCAATGATGTTGTTGGTAACATAGCAAAGATCCAAGTCCGACTCGGCGTGCCGTGCTCGAGGTCCCGCAACGATCTGTCGAAGTAAAGAGGCCATGATGGAGACAAATCTATTGATGCACCCAGGAAAGCGGAGCAAGGTTTAGGACGAACGGGCGCCAAGAAAATAGGGATTGTTGCAGCGCGTGTAGTATAAATGGGCGATCAAGGAAGTCTAACCAAGGCGTCCTCCCTCATGACGGTCTACTGTGTCGTAGCTGCGCCTTGGTCGCGTGCGGGAAGTGAGCCTTGACATCGGCCTCCGAGCAGGGAAGGGCGACGTCATTCGTAGTGGGGTGAGCCGGGGAAGAGCTGCCGAGCTACGCCACTTCGGGTGTGGCTAGTGTCGTCGTCCGCCCCGGCTGCTTGGCAACATGTGCTCAGCCCTTTGGCTAGCTTGTGCTGTTGGCATCTTTAGCAAACTCCGCAAACCACAAAGATTTAGGGAAAGGATGAAGATAAACTGTATAGTCATGCGAATTTGGATTTACTGCTCAATCAAAACTAACAAACAAAGGCCGGAGCCAGTGAGCAAACGGGAAACCTGAAATCATCGTGCGATGCAGAGAGCAACCCGGTAAACCATCAGGCCCCAAACTCGCCTACACTATAATAACCTGAATTACCGGCGAAACACCGTGTGAACCCTGGCCGGCCATGAAACCTCCCGCTCATTTCTTTTCCTTTGCGACCGTATACTCTCGTTATAAACCTCTTTGCGTAATCGTCCCCTGCCGAGAAATACTCTCATCCTAGTTGGCTTGCAACCTGGCTCTTCGCAACGGCGGAGCCGCCAGACAATCAGCCTCATCTCGAGTAAGGCTTTTGTCATTGCACCCTTGAAGGTACTCATGACTTTAAATCATTTCGCGTGTTTCGCCAATGCTTAGGAAGTCTTCTTGGGGACAGCGGTGCCGCTGAGGTAGCGGTTGGGGTCAGTGTAGGCGTAGAACTGGCGAGCGCCTCCCTTGACGGTCTCCCAAGCCTGGCGGGCGGCGGGGGGAGTGCCCTGGTTGCCGACAGCGGAGTCAACACGGGACTCGAGAAGGGCGAGCGAGTTCTGGACGTGGGTGCTCTGGGTGAAGCGAGCACGGAGGAAAGCGGTGTAAATGGCAATCAAGATCCAGGAGCGGCGCTGGAAGGTGATGGCAGAGAGGAGGAGGCGAACCCAGAGAAGAATCTCGAGCGAGGACACGACAGACATGGAGGCATCGTAGTACTCCTTGACGAAAGCGCCAATCTTGTCGGCGATCGGGTTGTTCGCGTACTGGGCCTTGCCGCTGGGGGAGGCACCAGCGGCAGGCGTGATGGGCTTGGGAGGAGTGATGGTGGGAATCACGTTGGCGCGGGTGTAAGTTGCGACGTGGAAGATCGAGTAGATGGCGTAAGGGAGCATGGCCAGGGGGTACTGGGGGGACAGAAGCCACACCAGGGACATGACTGGGGTCGCATGGTTAGAAGCGATTCCCCCGCAATAAGAGGGCAAGGATGCAAACTCACCAAGATACTGAACATTCTCGTCGGCAATCAGGGCCAAAGGGCTCTGGGGAGCCTTGGCTCCAGCCTTACTGCGTGCGCGGAGAGTCTTGTACACGACGATGCCGTAGGTCAGGGCAGCAGACAGGAATGTGAGTCTGTAGCTGAAGCGGGCGATCCGGCTGTAGTAGTTGAAGGAGATGTAGGAGAAGCCATAACGGATAACGGCAAAAATAAGGGACAAGTGTCTGCAGCAGGAGTTGTCAGCCAACGTTTGCAGAATAGAGGTTGGTTTCGTCGATTGTGAGCCCATCGGTCATCTCCACGTGCATATCTCGGGTCGTCGGGTTGCAGGGAGGGAGGAGGGCGTCATATCAGGATGGTCTGTACATACCCGGCGAACCAAGCGACTGTTGATGAAGATGTTAGCAGCTGTTTATAGCGACAGAGACATGCAGGCGAAAAGACGGGAATCAGCATACATTGCAGGGTCTGGGCCAGAAGCAAAAGCCTCTGGGTCAAAGGGACGTTGGCAGGCGGAGGGGGAGCCATCGTGATGTGTTCTGAGTGCGGCGGCTCTCAAGGGCAGAACAGATGTATGTGGAATATTCGATGCAGCAGTCGAAATTGGTACTCTGTAGCAATGTCGTAGTTGAGGAGAAGGCTGCGACGGTAAGCTGGTGGTTTTTGTGTCGTGTGAGAAGTTTCTCGGAGATGCAGATGCTGGGTTGACTTTGGGGAAAGCTGGCCAGAATGCGCAAGAAGTTGAAGTGATGCGGCGGCGGGGACTCGAGTGGCTGGTCCAGTGTGCATGGAAGTGTCCAGTGCAGAGGAGACGGAGGGGGTGGAGGGAAGATGGAGCCTGGACCAGCTGAGGAAAGCGGTGGTCGGTGCGTCGGTGCGTCACTGCTTCCTTCTTCGTGCTTCCCTTTGGTCGGTTCCCTCCTTCCTTCCCGCCGCTGGTCCCTCTTTTTTGTTTTTATTTTTTATTCTTATTTTCTGTGTGGCTACCAGGTATTTTTGAACTGCCAGGTTGAATACGTATTTGTACATACCCAAAATTCCCCAAATTCCAGTCTAGGGTCCCGGACACAGAAGCGGCAGATCTGCACTCCGACCATGGGCGATGGAGTGGGATTTGCTCCAGATTTTAAATGACAGACAGGTAAAGACAGGGCTCTCTGGGTTTTGTTTCCGTCTCATCCCAGCGTCGCACAGAGTACCGTGTTGGGCGAATCAGCGCTGCTACTCATATGCAAAGAAGCTCAATGTTTCCTTTTATCTCGAGTGTTTTGGAATCCCGTCTTCAACGGCGGCACAGGAAGGAGATCTGACCGCGAGAACCCAACCGTCCGTCAGGTCAGTGTGAAGATGAGACGACGGCAGAAAATCCGTGCCCCGAACAGGACGGGAAATATCAGCAAACACCAGGACCGCTAGAAAGCATGTGCATCCAATGCAGAAGGGAGAGCCATTTTGGTGGTACACGCATGTCTCTGCACTCAAGTGTGTAGTCGATAATATGAAAATGGAATGATATGGCCAGAGCGCCCTCCAATGACGATCGAATCTGGCAGGGGTATTATGACAAAAGCAGCACGAAATGCTCATCCCCTAGATACCTAACCTACGTGTCGATATCGGGACGCAGCTGTGCCTTGGACAGGAGACTCAAGAGTCGAGACTCTTTCATCACCACTGGCGCTAGCTCCGGACTTTCCTGGCCTGGTGTCAAGCCACAATCATCGGCTTGTTTCTTTTCGTCATCATCACGCCTGGTCTGTGCGACAGCTGCAGGCGATAGCTCCGTCTAGTCCACACAGCTTTGACCAATGAGAATTCTCTGCATCTAGCCTGCTTAGTCACACTGTACCTTCCCGGCTAACCTTCGGTCGTCTGGACAGTGTCAATTTCATAGGCGTTCACTGCTCCCATAACCCCTGCTCAATTGGGGAAGCTGTGGCGTCACAAGCTCCCGAGCTTTTCGAAATGTTGAGGGCTGCAGCTTCGTGGCTTCACCTCAGTCCATCGACCAGACGGCCGTGTTGATTTGCGCACTGCTCGACACCACAAGCAGCCACGATGCCTCCAAAAGCAGCCCCTCGACCAAGGGAGTTCGTTCATCCCGAAGCTGGACATGCTCGAAAGAAGTGAGTTACCCGACTTTCTTTGCCTCTTCTTTCATCTAGAAAATGCCCCTCCACTAACAGCAACCTCTCAACAGGCCCCCCAGCGCTTTCGCTATCGAGCCCATCTCGGCATTCTACTGCTTCCTGATCGCCAACATCATCTCCGCCCTCTTTGCCCCGATACAAGACTGCGATGAAACATTCAACTACTATGAACCGACCCATTACCTGTCCCACGGCTATGGCCTGCAGACGTGGGAGTACTCCCCCACCTACGCGATTCGCAGCTGGCTATACGTTGGTCTACATGCCATTGTTGGGAACATCCGCCGCTTGATGCCACAGTCCACCAAGGCAAGTGCATTGCGGCACTAGAGAATACTACTTGCGACCAATTGCTAACCATGACCAGGTCGGAGAGTTTTTCTTCATCCGCTACGTACTCGCTTTCGGCTGCGCCTTGTGCCAGACCCTTCTCTTCCGTGTCATTAGTCTCACCCTCAATGCACGCATCGGCCTGTTCTTCATCCTGGCCACCGTCTTTAGCCCTGGAAACTTCCACGCAAGCACTGCCTATCTGCCCTCCAGCTTTGCCATGTACATGGCTATGCTGGGCGCTTCGTCCTTCATGAACTGGCGGGGTGGTCTCAAGACCGCTCAAGGCATCTTTTGGTTTGCTGTCGGTGCGGTGGTGGGCTGGCCCTTTGCCGCGGCACTCTGCGCGCCATTCCTTGTTGAGGAGGCTCTCTTCGCTGCCTTGAGTGATACGGACCGCTTGATTGAAGCTATCATACGCGTGGTGAGGGGCGTCGTTGCGGGCCTCATCGTTCTTGTAAGTTGGCGTACTAATTCATTCGTAACCAATCATTGTCTAATACTTGCTAGTTCTTCGACGGCGTTATCAATACCTTCTTCTACAAGAAAATCGAGGTCGCAGCTTGGAACATTGTCAAGTACAACATCTTCTCGGAGACCGGCGGCCCTGAACTGTACGGCACAGAACCTTGGACCTTTTACTTCCGCAACCTAACCCTGAACTTCAACATCTGGTTCGCGCTTGCGCTTGTCTGCCTGCCTCTGTTCTTGCTGCAGAAGATCGTTTCTCCCTCTGGCCAGGGATTCCAGACCGGTCTTCGTGCATTGGTCTTCATCTCGCCTTTCTATCTGTGGCTCGGCATATTCACTCTTCAGCCTCACAAGGAAGAGCGTTTCATGTACCCTGCGTACCCCTTCCTTGCCTTGAACGCAGCCATGTCATTGCACATTGTTCTTACTGCGCTCGGCAACTCTGATCCAAAGACCCTCATTGGCAAGATCCCTGCCAAGCTCAAGCTGTCCTTGGTCACCATCACCCTGCTTCTGTCATTCGATATCAGTCTTTCCCGAGTGTACGGCATTTGGTCTGCCTACTCTGCCCCGTTGAGTCTGTACAAGCCTCTCGGAGCTGGCGTCAGCGGTCAACAAGGCCTTGGTGTGCGTGGCGACAACGTCTGCTTTGGCAAGGAATGGTATCGCTTCCCGTCATCCTACTTCCTGCCTCGCGATATGCACGCAAAGTTCGTTCGCTCAGAGTTCAGGGGCTTGCTCCCAGGTGAATTCTCCGAGGCTCGCACTGGATTCGGTTTCTGGAGCGGTACCTGGATGCCGACGAATGGCATGAACGACAGAAACCAAGAGGATATGGGCAAATACGTTGATCAGAGATTCTGTGGCTTCATGGTGGACACACAATATCCTGAACGAACCGCTCCCCTGCCTCCGAACGAGCCCGACTACATCGCCGATCAAGAAAACTGGGAGATTGTCAAGTGTATCCCCTTCTTGGATGCGGAGAATACCCATGTTTTGGCCAGAGCACTCTACGTGCCCAACCTTCCGTTCGTCCCAGAGCAATTTAAGCGGAAATGGGGCCGTCACTGCCTGCTTAAGCACAAGAAATGAAGTAACCCTTCATCATGATTGTACTTTTGAAGGCGGATGCTGAAGCCATCTTTTGGGGAAGTTGAAGGGTCTCTAGGAGATCTGCCCTTGCAATTAGACCAAGGATTGACATGGTCCATCGACCAACTATCTTGAATGCGATGCAGTCACATTTGTCACTGGACTTACTTCAGATATCAAGAGCGGATATGCTTCAAGGCTGATGATGATCCAAAAAGACAATGGTCTATATGGGGCTGTCGTTCGGCGCAGCGACAGCCTGGGCATCATAGCCTCTCAGACTTTGGAGTCAGGATAATGCTGTGAGCATGAAGACTTGAGAAGCAAAGCCAAATAATGTCCAAAGTTGTTGGTCAAAGAGGTCGCCGGCATTGCCTTATCAGAAAATCACATGGGGTCCCTTAGGTAGAGAGCTTTACAGAATAAGATCTGAGGCCTGTGCCCGTCAATAGAGAGCACAAAAGCATGCATTCACTCTTGTGCTACCTTTCAAAAGTTCGAGCATCAGTAGGCGTCCTGATAATACATTGGACATGAAATCTAGGGCGCGTCATCAAGGGAGGCCATTGACTTGGTCTAAAAGATGACCGACAATCCCCGCTTCCAAACACTCTTCTTCTTCTCGGCCCCTTCGTAGACATCATCAAGCTCCTCCTCAGGCCGCCTTCCCATGTCAAGATCAACGCTGTGCAAGTCGACGCCGAAACCCCAATCTTTGGTGTAGACCTTCCAAAACAAGAAGAGAGAGATGGTGATGGGAGCAGCCAAGTATCCCTGGAAGAAGGACTCTGCGCTCGGCTCTCCTCCGACGGGCTATTCAAGTATTAGTAACATGGTCAACAACGCTTGAAAAAGAGAACGGGATCTGCAGACTTACAAAAAGCGAAGAATAAAACGTCGCAGCAAGCGAACAACAAACCAGAAACACACCAACATAACTCCCCACCACACCCAGCGCAGACCTCCATGGTATATCCTCGGGGCTCCTCCCTTGGACCTTCCACGCCTTGCGGAAGCGGATATGCGCAATCATGATGCTCGCGTACGCGAACTGGCCCGAGAGGCCCGTAACGGCGAGAAGCCAGTTGAAGACGGTCTTGCTGTCGGCGGCGAAGGTGATGAAGGAGATGAAGCCGAAGGCGACTTGTAGCGCGACGCAGTAGATGGGCCGGCCGGACTTGTCGATCTTGGCAAAGATGGAGGGGGCGCGGCCGGATTGGGCGAGGGCTTGGAGGACGCGGGTTGAGCCGTAGGTGCAGCTGTTTGCGACGGAGATGACGGCGCAGGTGATTACTTCGATTGGCAGGTGTCAGACAGCAGCTCGGAGGGTTAAGATCATGCACGAGGAAAGGTAGTTGAGGAGGAAGATGAGGAAGAGACGCGGGATATGCTAGACGTACCGCCGTTGATAACGTGAGGGAGGATCTGGATCCCGGCAAGCTGGACGGCCAGGACAAAGGGGGACGCCTTTGTGTTTGCCCCGCTGGCGCCGAGGAGTACGTCGCTGTCAGAGGGGACTATGAGGCCCATGATGAAGATGTTGAGGATGTAGAAGAGGGCGATGCGCCAGAAGACTTGGCGGGTAGCTTTCGGGAGGGTCTTGCGCGGGTTCTTGGCTTCAGCGGCTGCGAGGCCCACCATTTCGGTCCCGCCAAAGGAGAAGGCTGAGATTCGTTTGCTTAGTTCAGAGTGCCCGAACTATCATATAATTTGACATGGATCTGGGGGTCGGTGATGTGATAGAAAGACGGGAACTCACCGGCGGTTACGAAGACGGAGCAGAATCCTTGGAAGCCGTTCCTGAAGGCGCCTGGGTTGTGCCAGTATTGCGCGCCGATGTAGCCTCTAGGGTCTGTGGGTACGCCGCCGGCGTTGATGATAATGCCGAGGATGATGAAGCCGATGCATGCTATGATCTTGACGATGGCGAGGATGAATTCGACTGAAAGTTAGAGTTAGGGAGAGATCATTTAGGAGATTTTATAAAGTCAAGTGAGCCTTGCCTTCGCCGTATCCTCGCACTCCAAAGACTTGGATGATGATCAAGAGTGACATGAAGACGGCGCACCATACGCCGGGGTTGACTTCTTCTCTGCTCTTCCAGAACTCGATTGTGATGCCAGCGGCGGTGATTTCGAAGGGAAGGGTGACCATCCATCCGATGGAGTACTCCCACCCCATTGCAAAGCCCCTGGCAAGGCGTCAGAAATTGGCTTAGAAATCTCTATCTGGTTATGTAGTCGAAGAGAAGCTCACCAGGCCGGATCAATGAAGCGAACAGCATATTCGTAGAAAGCACCATTGACTGGGTAGATGATTGCAAGTTCTCCGAGAGCTTGGACGGTACACATCATCATACAACCAATGATGATGAAACCTATGAGCTGCAGACTACTTAGTTTCTCTTCGAGTCGGTTGACAATATTGGTCTCGAGATGCTTACAAGAGCAGCCGGCCCTCCCGTTCTCAATGCTCCCCCTGTCCCGACGAAGAGACCTGCACCGATAGAACCTCCTGCGAGGAGGGTGATCTAATTAGACTCTAAATGGCTTCCGTGGTGAGTGACATACCGATCGCAATCATCTGCATATGCCGACCCTTGAGCTCTCTCGACAACTGCCGATGCTGTGGCTCGCTCTCGCCCTCGCCATTGCTAGACGTGGGCTGGACGGCCGCTTCGCTGGCATCGAGCTTCTTCTCTTCTACAGTCATTCTGGAAAGCTTTTACAAAGTATTTGTGTTGAAAGTCAATTGATCTACATATTCTCGAAAAAGCCCTCCAGAACCTGCGCGGCTTTCGCCTGTTTAAAGCAATTCAATTCTCTCCCGAGTGAATGCAACTTTATCTTTGCACGCGATTTTGCGCCCCTGAACTGCGTCAACCCCCCATTCTCGAATGGTGCACCGGCAAGGCCATCCTTATCAGAATCCTAGGAAATGTTCAGGATGTTGGTATCAGAGCGTTGCTACGCAGATACTTAGCGACTGTTGGTGAGTTGGGATCGACGTCACTGGGAGCGCGGGTTTACGCCGGGCGTTGAAACTCGATCAATGGGAGCAATGAGCATGGAACTACTCCTTCTCAAACTTCTTGGCAGTCGTATTGCTCGTCTCTTCCACTCCATTTCGAGACCAGAGGTTGCCGGCAAATCTCTTGATACGAAATGCCAGTTCCATCATAAAGTTGCTTCAGCATTATTGCTCCAATACAGAAGATGGTGGGTAGTATCTTCGTCAAAACAACTTGCAGGTCGCAACTATTTCGGTCCGTCTTTAGCCCGGAGCGAAGATAAGATGCCATACCGGCAGATCAAGTACGATGCCCCGATGATAAAAGGGGAAGGCGGGGGGACCTGATAAGAGCCCTCGGGGTGATGTTGAAAAGATGGTGGGGTCGTATCGGAGGGGTGCCCGGTAAGTGGGTCCGATACGGAGTCGTCTCCGGTCCCTCGTACTGAGTGCTGCCCGGATGGGGTAATAGTGACCTACGCCACGTGCGCTTCCCCTCACGGACGAGCCGTAGCTTATCTACGCCCGCTCGCTGCGGCCCACGGCAGCCAACGACACACGTATCCGATAGCCAGTTGGCTTTGGTGCCGTTGTGGCCGTCGAGCGTCGAGGACGCCCGAACTTGCGGACTGGCATAGAGTTTGTCAACTGTCAGCGAATCACTCTCTTCGCCATGGGCGTCCAAGACTAAAGCGTGGCCGCTTGTACACTGGGATCACCATGCATCTGGTTCCGGGGATCGGACGTATGCTAGGCTAATTGCGGTGGTGTTTGGATGGGCATAGCTCCGAAACGGCACGATCCGGTGCGATAGAGATTGAGCATTTAGAGCAATCCTTGTGCCGCTTCCTCCTACTTAGATACCAAGCCCATGAGTATAACTCTTCACAATTCAAAGTACTCTCTTCATAGCCCTGCAACCATCAACTCCTCCATCACACCACAATCAGAGACACGGCCGTGTCCCTACGCCAAAAGATGAAGTCCTCTTTGGGACTCTTCGCCGCCAGGCGACCTTGGGGTACCACCATAGCCGTCAGATCGGATAAGCGCGCCTACGGGAAACCGACAGAGCCAAGACAGTCACTCGGCGCCGCCAACTCACCACACGCCGCAATAAATGACACAACTCCCTTGACGTTGAAGCCGGCTCTAACACCAACAAAGACAAAGAGGAAGGCCGTCGATGGGTTCCCATTGTCCGGCATGCCGACAGGCACGCTCCTGCGGTCCCTCCTCGTTACCACAATCTCCTCCAACCGCTTCCTCCTCATCCCCGCACTCAAAACCTTATCCTTCCTCGCCAAGCCGGGGCGGACGATCTTGTTCGACGTCGATCGCAACCCCGTCTTACACAAGATTTTGCGAAAGACGTTTTATGACCAGTTTTGTACCGGCGAGACGCCGCAGGAGACCAAGGCGACTGTGCAGAGTCTCAAGGATTTAGGGTTCAGGGGGGTGATTCTCACGTATGCTAAAGAGACTGTGTTTGATCACTTGACGCAGTCTTCTGTCGAGCATGGGAAGCTTGTTGGTGCGTCGGCAGATGGGTTTGATGAGGATATTGAGTCGTGGAAGAAGGGCACCCTTGAGACTGCTGCGCAGATTGAGCAGGGTGATTATCTCGCCATCAAGTAAGACAAGACAATTCTCATGCAATTTTGTGTCAGGAATACTAATCATGTCTTAGGCTGACTGGTGCCGGCCGTGCCGTGACCACCTCGTTCGCCAACAATGAACTACCGCCACAGCAGATGCAAGATGCTTTGACTGAGATAGCGACGATATGCAAGGAGAAGGGTATCAAGATCATCGTCGATGCCGAGTCAACACACTTCCAGAAGACCATCGACAGGGTGACACTCGAACTCATGCGTCGCTTCAACACGGATGGCGTTGCATCCATCTACAACACTTACCAGGCCTACCTCAAGCACACACCCGATAACGTCACGAACCACCTCGCCGAAGCTGCCAAGGACGGGTTCACCCTCGGACTCAAACTGGTCAGGGGAGCATACATCCTCTCCGATAACAGGTCAATGATCCACGACACCAAGGAGGATACTGATCGTGCGTACAACTACATCTCCCAAGGGGCTGTAAAGCGCAGCATTGGCGAGTTTGGCACATCAAAGGTCTTCCCGTCAGTCGATCTGTTCTTGGCCAGTCATAACAAGAAGAGCCTCTTCGCCTCCCTAAAGCTGCACCAAGACCGTGTCAAGAATGGTATGCCCACCGTCCCGATATCCTTTGGCCAGCTTCACGGTATGTCGGACCAAGTCAGCTTCTCTTTGCTACAGACCAAGAGTGCAGGAATGGAGAGCCCTGCTGTATACAAGTGCTCTACTTGGGGCACCATGAGTGAATGCTTGGCGTACTTACTGCGCAGGGCTGTGGAGAACCGTGATGCGGTGTTGAGGACAACTGATGAGCACACCGCGGTGAAGAGCGAATGTTGGAGGCGGATGATGTCGGTTTTTGCAGCTTGATATAAATTGCCAATAGTAGTTACTGTGCGGCCAATGAATCGAATAGCAGCGGCATGGAATTTAGAATACTTCAAGTCTCCCAGCCAAGACTTGACGACACTATCAATACGTCAGGCATTACAGTCACAAGACCTGAGCCTAGTGAACAAGTACTGTATAACCTCCTGAGCTGCCTTCTAGTTTCTACAAGCTACCTAACTACAGCTGAGCTCGCCTTATCCGCTCGAATGTCACTGTTTACTTTTAGTATTTAGTAAAATCATATCTACTTCCATCCTCATAGTGCTGCCCCCCGCCCCCCCCCCCCCCCGACCCGAAGTTGAGATATTTGACAACATATACCTGGTCAGAGATGCTCGACTAGGAAGATTTGTTTGTCGAGCAGTCATATACAACTCCGTCGAGATGTAAAATAGACGCATCTGATGTATCGAAAGAGTACTCCCGTATCGTATCGTCAACAATACCGTAGAGGTGCCCGTCCATCGTTGTTGCAATGGCCGAAAATTTTGCGAGATTTCCCCCAGACTTTTCGAGTGTGATCTGGCTCATCGTCTCATTGTGCTGACCGATGATACGGCCAGCCATCGTTCCGTCAGAGTTCAGAGACAAATAAATGGTGTCTAACCAGTTGCTTCGCATCGTGACAGCGAATTGAGGGGCTGCCGTGGACGATGATGAATCTTGGGATTGAAGGATGTTGTCTATTACGACAGGTTCTTTGGACACAGAGTCAGAGATTAGCCATAGTTTGATGAGTAAAGGTCAATGGATCAAGCAGAGGGTACTTTACCTTTCACCCATGACTTGGTCTCTAAGTCGAGTCTGGCCTCTATCATACTGACCTCTGAATCTACCGTCCCCGGCCCCTTTGCTACCAGACTGGCTTTATCAAGCACCGCGCCACCAAATTGTGCAATGATGGCAAGACTGGTATTCGTTGTCCAGTTGGGCATGAATTCTAATGGCTGAGGGTTGGCGTATGTGTTGGTGTCGTTGGCGACATAAACCTTCCCATTCAGCCCTTGGTATGCAATGAGCCGGTTTTGTCGTTCAGCGTTGCTATCCTTCCGCTCAGTCTCGTCTGGTAGTCGTTGAGTGAACGTTGCCGCAAGTTGTGAACCGGGCAAAGGGCCGATCCTGGCATCAACAACCGAACCGTCAGAATTCCATTGAGTACTCTCGCCTTCCTTGACGTCGTGTATGATTCCATCGGTTGCGACGTAAAATAGCCTAGTTTCGCCACAACCGTACCCTGCGCAGGCTACCGCTGCCATCGGAGCACCGCGAGGAATACTGATAGCGTTGGTTGTCGATTGGAACTTGAGAGTAAGATTAGTAGTCGCCCACTCCCTTGAAGGTTCCCGTAGGATCCGTGCGATCAGTGCCCCGGTAGCATCTTGGAAGAAAACCGTTCTTTGATCGATTCCCCCGCTTGTTCGGTTAGCTGCTGCAAGTCTCGAGGTACTTAGGATGCAATGCGAAGTACTCTTAGCAGTACTCCGACGACTAAGCACACCTCCAGCAACACCACCAGCGATGGCGCCAATAAGTATTACAAGGCTGGCAACCAGCACTATGATGAAGACTCGCCGCGAAAGGCCACAGATGGTATCTTTCCGCCCAGGCTTGGTCGTTGAGTCGTCGTGTTGCTGGGGAAAGGGCTGGTCGTAGCCTTGCTGATCTTGCTTCTTGTATATGTCTGACGTTCGTTGAAGGTACCGACTCTCGGTATCCCAGGCATTTACTCCTTGATCATGATGTACCTCGAGTCCGGCCTCTGGTCGACGAGGGTCTACCTCAAGGGTGCTATAAGTCTGCGCAGAGACCATTGGCACGACGGCGTGATATTTGCTGGGCTACTTTCGTTTTGGGAGCGTTATAGCTTGTGACATAACAACAATTTGAGAACAAGAAAGAGTGAAAGTCCAGAAAAACAAGACGAGGGCGCACCTCTGGATTATGTGCAAGCCTATTCCATCATTCCCGGCGCCGAGGTCGATCCCAACTATTTGTAATACTTTGCATGGGTGACAAGGCTCGGCCCAAATAGTATTGTCAGCTTCCGTTCCACAAGAGAGCACTTCAACTCCAGTGCTGCCTGTACCGTTTGACTGCATAAAGTTAATGTTCGTGTGAATTACCTGATCAGCAGGCTACATAATGTCAATCATATCCATCTTAACTTCATATGAAACGACAGGGGCTGAA